CTGTAACACACAGAACGCAATGTTAGCATTCAGATTACCGTATTTTTTCCCCCATTAAATACTCCTTGATGAGTGATATTGGCACAGGACTTCCCCCCAAAGCCATAGTTCACTTCATATCTGTTTCCTCTTAAATCCCTTTCCATGTGGTCAGCCTGACAGGTCACAAATGAGAGCTGCCAGCTTATTTGTTGTTGTCTGACTGCTTTCACAAATGCCCGTGGTTTTGATCTGAGAAAACAGGCACTGAATGCAACCTGAGTAAACCATGGACAATGTTTGTAGCTGGGAGACGGAAAGGTAGAAGGGTTAAACATGACACGTTCCCTTGAAACAGTTTTATGACTGCTGCTAATTTGAATGCTCAGTAATAGAGATTTGTTGGATGGAGGGGTTACCCTTCACTATTAATGACTCATTGGCCTCCTTCCCAAGCTGCCTGAAGTGCTGCTCTCCCTAGTGGAAGTAATTTTGTCTTTGAAGTACTTTCCAGAGCTGTCAACTAATGTTCCACAGTTCCCAGAGGAAATAATAAGCCATGAGTGCATGTACACTGAAAACGTAGAGTCTGAAGTGAACTGTTCCTATAGGAGCCTGGCAGTCTGCTTCTCTGTGGAATTCAGCTTGTTTATACAATCTTATCTGGCTAAGCTATGGTATTTCATCTGGCAGGCAGTTCCTATGAAAAGCAGCTGTCCAAGCAGTGGGAGTGGTGCTCCTGGTGGTTTTTTTTCAGAAGGTCTATAATTTCTTGTTTTATGTAAATTGAAGAAATACAATACTCTTTTGGCTGCAACCAGATGCTCTAAGCAGTTTTCTTTCCTTTATAAATAGTCCTGTAAGTGTGCTCTGCTGTTATGTACCGTATGACTTAATGATAGGATTCGCAATGGCCACCAGGAAGGTATAATGCAGTCTGTAAAGTCACAGGCTGACTGCAGAATTGTTAGAAGAGTACCTCAAAGATGTTACCATCTATGAATTTCTAGACATGTTTAAAAAAGAAATATTCTGATAGTAACGCATCCATGCTTGTAAGAGAAAATCTCCTTTAATGAGTTTTGCTGTTGCTGGACAAGTGGAGGTAGTTCTATCAGTTTCCAAAACCAAACAAAACAGACAAAAGCATCACTCTCCCACCCTGTTGTCAAGAAAGTGAGCACAGGTATACCTCTGCATGAAAAGATCTGTAGTATATATCTTCTCTAACAGAAAGGCCCTTGTGGGTAAGTAGGTGGCGACAACTCTATAACAGAAAGGATGCAGCCAAAATACTTAAGGTTTTCTGTAACTCACTGCCACATAACCAAATGCTTCCTAAAATGTACCGAAAACCAAAGCTTTTGGAGAGCAGAGTTGCAGTAATATTCAGTGCCTACAGGAGAGTTTAAGGTATTGCTTTGTGTTGCTTTGGCTTGTGGGTTGAAGTAGGACAGAACTGGAAAGCTGAGGATTCCTTCTCCAACTGCAGTAAATGTTCCTGTTCACCTCGTTTTACAGGAGCAGTAATCTCAGTAGAAAACAAACTGTGGGCACAAGTAAAACTCAGGTCTGAGTCTTCCAAAGTTTAGTGGTTATCCAGGATTATCTGTCCTGCTCATAGCACGCCTTTGTCTGAAAGCACTACATCCCGTACAGGAAAATGCCCCATGCCATCTGCCTCATTCTAAGAAACAGGGGTCATATTCGGCACCTAAAAGGCTAATTCTCCCTGTCACCTACCTGTAAGAATTCACGCCGCCCTCATTCAAGGCATAGGAAAACGTGGCACCCTATAAAACAGGATGCCTTGAGCACTGTTCAGATGTGCTGCTGGATGGCACTTCTGCCAGCGTGCGTGCCGGTTTCTATAGACCTTTTGGTCCGCAAAAGGAGCATTTGGTATTGCAACAAATGAAACTTGAAAAACGAGCCCTGTCTGGTTCCATATGGTACGTACTGGTCTTTGCTGAGGGCTGGCATCAAGCACAGTCTGTTGCCTTAGCTAAAGGGGCATTCCCGCTTGCCACCCTGTACGGTGAGAAATTCAAAACCTGGGAACGAGTTACTGAGCTTCATTAACGTGTGTCATTGTAAATTATGCAACGGTACAGTTTTCATTTCAGCCTGACGTGTGCCACCTGAACAGCCTATTTTTGGAAATAGGTAAGATGCCACTGTTTGGCCACCCCGTAGCTGAATAAAGGGAGTGATGCTGGCTGCCTTCTCCCGGTTCCCTTGTGAGGAAGGAATTATTTTTTTTATTTTGCGTTCAGAGTTGATGACTTTCTGCTGCTACAGCGACAGCTGATGTTAAACTTCAGTAGAGATACTTTGCTTTATTCCTGTAGCAAGACGAGTGGCTCTGAAGGGGGAGTGGGGGCTGGCTGTTTCGTTCTGGGTCTGTTTTTTTAGTTTCTAAGAGTTAGTCCCACACAAGTGTAAATGCTAGGGAGCGGGTCATCTGGAATACAAGTAATGTGATAATCACTGTATTGTCAAGGAGCATGTATTCTGTACTTCAACTTTTTCTAGTAAATAATCAGTATTTTTTTGGTAGAAGCTCTCCAAAATAGCCCTCATTTCCCCAACCTGCAGTATGTATGAACAGTTTTACCTGTTAGAACTGGGACCTATCTTTTTCATATGTAATTCTGTTTAGGGTCAGAGTTGGAAACTAATGCCTGACATGGTTTTAAAAACAAAAAAAGTCCAGTCATCAACAGGACAGGGACTTCAGTTTTAACCTGCTCCCGGCCTGAAACACTAAATCCAAAAATGGTCAGTGGTCCTGATAAATGAGCCTGTATAACTTGTAATGTAACCCTGCCTATGCCTGGTACGTGTTTGGAGGAAAAAGATAACATTTTTGTGGTAAGCTGGGCTTTTTGTTATTAAAGGAGGTGGTTGTTTTGAAGCTGCTCAGAAGTTAGGAATGCTGGCAATCATCTGGGGAGGCAGATTAGTGGGCTGAGTGCAGGTGAGGAGGTCACAGGCACAAAACAACCCCTTCTTTTGTGCCATTGCCCTGGTGCTGGTTGAGCCAAAGGAAGCTGCTTCAGAAATGACCCACCAATGTGTGCCAGGAGGGACCATCGTACTCCTCTTGCTTACCTGTGACGTTATTACTTAATCATCACAAACTTGAATGTTGTGAGGATGAACTCTCTAGGTGGCTGTTAAAGGGGAAGAGAAGTGTTGTCAGCGAATCTTCCCAGGTGAATTGTTTGGTAAGGCTTTCTGCAGACCTACCTTAAAGTAATTCAGCATTAATATACTAACACGTAGACAGAGGCAGAGGATAGTTATGTGGGTACTTACAGGGAATAGAGGGATAACTAGGGCATGTGTTTCATTTTACCTGCAGTGCAAAAAAACTTTACTCGCCAGCATAATTTCCTGAGGGATGAAGCTTTTATTTTTGAGTTTGGTTTGCCAGTACTGAAAGACGGTCTTAAACACATAAACCTCCATTTCATGTTAATTGCCATCTTAAACTGAAATTTTGGGGTAAAAGTAGTCTCGGGCTAGGTGAATGTAGATGATGACGATGCTGTTGAGGAAAGAAAAGGAGTAATGCCTGGGTTTGCCTGCCACGGGTGGCTTGTGCGCTGAAAAGAGTAGACACTGCGCTGACTCCGCAGTTGGTAGGCCTCTGAATGGCCTGGGAGGAGAGACGAGAGGCAAGTTACACCAACAACCCCACCCAAAGAGTATCTGTTTTTTCACAGAAGCTTTTCCTTCAGGATGACCTTCCAGATGCCTTGCAATGCCCTCGGTGTTAGTATAGCCAGTGCAAATAAGTTACAGGAGAATGCAGAAAATAGCCTTCCTGAAGTCTTCAAACGATTTTTCCAGCCCAGAGGACTATGTAGGATCACAGAATAATTTAGACTGGAAGGGACCTCTGAAGGTCAGCTAATCCTATACCCTGCCCCAAGCAGGCTGACTTAGATCAGGTTGCTGCTTAGCACGTATTTTAGTGTCCTGTGAGTTGTGGAACTTAATGTCACTTAATTGAAGTTTGTCAATAACACACCTTGAAAGCTAACTTGAAAATGAGACTTGTAAGAAATGGAAATGTAATTATAAGCTGGTTTTTACTAACACTTCTTTTTTTTTCAACCTTTGCCAGGTAGAGGTATTACCTTACTTACTCAACCGTTATTATGCAGGGTTAATTCGTAGGAGAGAAAAATTTCTTGGTGGCAGTTCTCTAACTGTGCTGCTCTTCAACAGTAGGATAAACTGAGTCGGTTAGTTTTTCTCTGAAGTGTGCTAGCATGCTTAAACTCCCAGTGAAATAATTTTCCGGCTAGTGCATGCTTCACATTTAAAATATGCGCAGTATTTCCAACGTGAAACGCAGTGACGCATTTTGTACCCTAACAACTTCACGACTAGGGATTTTGTATGCAAAGCGCAACATGAGCTGCTCATACGCAATAACCTGTCATGTTATTTGGCTGATTTGAAGTTGATCACTTTGCATGTGCCCTTGAGATTCTGCTACAGAAAGCAAAATACCTAATAATTCCTTAAACAGTAGACCCTAAAAAGGCTGTTTTCCTATGGATCTTCCCCTCAAGGCCAGGAGGTGCACATGAGTCCATGTCTGTTCTGTGATCCTTCATGTATGGACCTGGCAGCAGAGCACTGTCTTTCTTCCTGCTTCTTTCTACCGGGCCGCTTGCTTACACCGAACTTCCTTGGTACTTGGCACTTTTAGCTCTTCTTATTGCTGTCAGATTCAGCTGAAATGAATGAAAATGCTCCAAAGAGAAAAGCACTCTACCGAGAGAGAGGTGTGTTAACGTAAATGCCTTACACACACCCAACTACTCACTCACACCCTGCTTTCCTGTTTGTACCTAAGGTCTGCTGTCAGTTAAGACAGTGTATTGGATATTGAAATACTCCGCAATTCAGACTTTGAGGTTAGGAATGTGTATACACTCGTTGCCCACTTGAAATCTATGTGTAAAAGTACAGTTCAACTCTAAAAATGCAGTCTCGCATGTATGACTGTCAGGTCTGCAGCTGCAGGTAAATTGCATTCTGCACAGCTGACAACAGGAGTTGGGAATCAGAAGTCGTCTTCCCTCAAAATAAGGAAGAGGTATAGGTAGTCATTGAAAACAACTCATTCATTCCAAACGATGTGCTGAAGGACAGAAAATGAAACAAAGGTTAGGGTAAGTGGAGGAATTAATTTTATTTTTTCCATGTTATTAGGAGTGTGGCTTCACTGAACCGGATTTAAGAAGCAAATGCCCTGTAGACTGAAATCTTCTCTGTTTGATTGATAACATTGGTACTGCTTCTCTTTCAGATGAAGTGGACTACAGTAATTTTGGGACCAACACGCTATCGAGGAAGAAGAAGGCTCTGGTGACACTCCGCAATGACAACCTCCGCCGGCGTCCTCACATTAACATTAGCATGCCTCATGATTTTAGACCGGTGTCTTCCATAATCGATGTGGACATTCTTCCTGAAACACACAGGAGAGTGAGGCTGTACCGACACGGCTGTGAGAAACCCTTAGGCTTTTACATTCGCGATGGCACCAGCGTAAGGGTTACTCCTCACGGACTAGAAAAAGTGCCTGGTATCTTCATCTCTCGTATGGTTCCCGGAGGCTTAGCGGAGAGCACAGGCTTGCTGGCTGTGAATGATGAAGTCCTGGAAGTCAATGGCATTGAAGTAGCAGGAAAGACTCTTGACCAAGTCACAGACATGATGATTGCCAACAGCCATAATCTCATCATCACGGTCAAGCCAGCGAACCAGAGGAACAATATTATTCGAAGCAGTAGGATGTCTGGTAGCTCTGGCCAGTCTACAGACAGCACTGCGAGTCACCATAGCTTGCCTACGTCCCACCTGCTGCAGAACTTCCACCCTGATGAAATGGAGAGTGACGAAGAGGCTGATATTGTCATCGAGGGCGGTCTGGAGCCCCAGCACATTCCCAAACTGCACAGCCTCACTTCCAGTAGCCTCTCTCGGATCAATGGCAGCAGCCTTAGCCACAGACTTCAAAGGGACCTGGTGCTCAACAACAACTCTGGCCGAGAAAGCAACGGCAACATCCACAAATTACTCAGTTCCTTAAAAACTGATCCCCGACACAGTCTGGTTATCCCCAGAGGAGGTATCGAGGAGGATGGAACAGTCATTACACTTTAGTAACAGTTCCTACAACTCTCCTTTCAGTCTTAATTGCCAACTGGGACAACTGACTCTTGCAACGTGTTATGCACAAAAGAGAGAGCTGATATTCTCATAGACCTCAGCGGGTGCAGAAAAGTGTTGCTTTCTAGGAAACCTGGCATCTGGAGTTGAGATAAAACTGTCAAGCACTGCAGAATTTGTCAGGAGAAAGCCAGAGTGTAAAACCCTGGTTTATGTCCCAGCCCTGAAGCGAGGACGCAAATCTGTTGTGGTTGGTGCGCACCTGGGCAGTCTCGCAGGCGTCCAGGGGCACGCTTGGGTTTGAATGCGCGGGTGGATGTATTTATACATGCATGTATATGAATTAGATTTTAAGAGTAACAGACACGTCTATTTGAAGTGGAATCTGGTTTTTCTCTAATACCAGTTTAAAGAGAGTGCTTCTTAACAGCCATCCGACCTTCTACCCTTACAGTACCCTTCCACTAACTTGTTTACACTGTATTTGCAACCTTATGTGTAATCCAGACAAGCTCTAGAAAAGTAGCAGTTTCCTACTCTGGTGGTAACAATGTTAGGGAGATGCTGCAAGTACGTTTTCCAAAGGAAACTATATATATATAGGTTTTTTTAAAGCCGTAGGAGGGGATGTGGGTGGGAGGATGTTGGTGTTATTGCTGTGGGACCAGCACCACCCGCTGGTCAGAGGCAGGCATGTCGGCTGCACAGACGCGTGCTCCGCAGGGACAGAAAAACATGGCAATAAGGGCTTAAAACTGGGTTCAGCACCATTATGTGTAAATGTATTCTTTTTCGATATTTATTAGACAATACCTCTTTTTCAAATTGATTTTTCCTCCCCCACCCCCCATCATCTCTGGTTGGGTTTTTTTTCAATATCATGGTTCCTGTGAATTTTAGGTGTGGAAGCGAGAAGGCAAGGAAAGTGGAAGAGTTTGCCAGGACTGTCCCCTTCACCTCAGAGCTGACACAGGTCCTTGCTGTACATCTGGGGCAACCTAAAGGTCATAAGGTCTTTCCTTACGAAAGATTGGCTAATTGCTGTACAGAGGAGGGATACCGACTGACTGCCAAACCTAACGTAGAATAGCTCCGTTATTCTTGGACTCTTCTAGTAATAAAGCTTAATGTCTACACAGGATTTCTTGAAACCGCGTATACTGGATGTTTGCGACGGTCAGGCGCCTTCACTGGATGCTAGAGTGGGTAACCAGTGACTGTTGAGTCGATAACCGCTTCTGGAAACGCCATGAATTTATCCAAGTGGTCTAATCAAAAATATTTTGTTATATCTTGATCAGTGTAAGGAACAAAATATAAATGTTTTACAATGTATTTTTCTACTTTTAGCTTGTGACTTTTGGTTTTTAACTTTGTAGTACATTAAAGCTTTTTTTTATATGGTGGAATAGACATTTCTTAAATATTATACGGATATGAAAATTCAGAAGTCTTGGTTTGAAAAAGATTACATTCCATTTTGGAATCTGTAACGGCTGGACGACGGATGTGTGGGCTCATTCATTGTCGCTAATTTAGAATACCTGTGGAACAACCAGTCTTCTGCTCGTTGTTAAATACGTTTGGGACGTTGAACTTAGTTTGTTTCTTTTAGATTTGCTTTAAAAGTTTATTTTAAAACTCTTTCACTTACTCTAATTAAACCTTTTCTAGGTGTCACAGCAGTTAATAGAGCTGTACTTATTTTTCCCAGCACAGTAAGAATAGAACGTTGATCCTGTTCATCTTAAAACTGTGTTTGTACTTTACCAAAGGTTTCCATTTTTTAAAAAATTTGATTATTGGTGCAGAAAAAAAAAATTGAGTTGGATATGCTTCAAGTCAGTCAGACCACCTTACCGGGAAAATTTTGTTATATCTTAAATAAGACTACTTTTATATGAATAAGTGGATTTGTCTGGCTGAAGTTACTCATTTTACCTTATTTAACTGATGAGAATGTGACCTGTCTGCAATAAAACGTGCACTGTCTTTACTTCTGCGCTACATCCTTTCCCCTGTGCCCAAGCACAACTTTCTCTGGAAATATCGTGCTTCCTTGTGGAAACATGACATCGTGGTTTTGAGGGCTCTTCCAGTACGTAACCCTTTCACTAATGCTTTGCTCTGCACCAAGACAGAGTTGGATTCCTCCGGTTGCTGTTGCCTCTACCGGGTTTCTTTCTTTCCACGTGTCCTCCCGGTACTGCCTTTATTAAAGGGTACTGTCACACCGGGTCCTGTCACACGAAGTTTGACGGGAATCAAACTGTCACCCCGATTCCTGTCACACCGAGGTTGCTGTGCTGCTCAGAGCGAGGCTCGCCTCGAACCTGACGCCTCTGGGGACTCGGGGCTGCTCTGGCTCCCCGTGAAAAGCCCGTGCTACCTCCGCCTCAGGGACGCGCCGCACACACCGCTCGGGGCCGTCCGCGTACGAAATACCCAAACTCTTCCACCTCGTTCATCC